CAGGCATGATTCATGTCCTCTAGGACACTGTGGAAATGAGCACCATTCTACCAGCAGGCTGGCAGGGTAAGTGCAGCATACACCAGTCAACTGTGTGCTCTGTGACTCCATCCTCTGCCACTCTCCCAGCCAAACCTGCTACTCTCCCTGCCTAGGAGTGGCCCCTGCTCGCCCTCACCACTGGCCCTAGCAGCATTCTAGGCCTGAATCTCAGGCTAAGTACTTCAACGACCTCCACCTAAGAGGATGACCTAAAATGTGCTCAACTACCCAGGAAAAGCTTAGGAAAGGATAGACATCTTGAGCTTGGGGTGCCTGGTCCTGGGCTTACCTCCTTGAAGGAGGAAGGAAGCTCTCTTTGGGCCAGGGCAGGTAACCATGGGTTCCATCGCGTGTATTCAAACATGTGATGAGGAAGGCTAGAAATACAGAAGCAGGGGCTAAAAGGCATTAAAGAACAGAGCTGAAATGAGTAATAGCCTGGCAGGCAGCACGCACAGTGGCCTCCCTGCATCCCCAGCCTCTCACTTGCAGAGGAAACTTCTGCATTTCCACAAGACTGCCAGTTTCCTCTCTGTGGTCTAATTTTAACCACCTTGTCGTTACAGTGTGTGTCAGCCACCTGACCCCCCTATGACCTCTGACCTTATGCCCCAGCTACTGCTTGCACTATGGAGAATTATGTAATGGGTCCAGGACTTTCCTTTTTGGTGTGAGACTGCTACCACTGAATGGAGAGGAGGTGGGGGGTTAAGGAATGAGACGAGGACAGAGAAAATGCTTGCCACGGTCCTTGGCATCACCTGGGTGGTGAGACGTATGCTGGCACTCCTGCCCAGCATGCAGCAGAAATCTGCCCGGAACAAGAGAGTGTGCCCATGGCTATGTGTGGACAGGCAGGCAGGAGAATTCCTGATAAGAGCATGGGCTGGGTGGCATGCTGAATGGTTCAGGAAGAAAGTGTGATTCCTGGCCAAGAGGGAGAAAGGCCACATGTGTGGACGTGGGACTCCTGCAGATGGGGATTTCCAGGGCACAGCGGGACCCAGGGATGCAGACATCCTGAGCCTGCCTACGGCACATCCTTAGAGGATCAGTGGGAATTGTCATTCACATGGACACAAAAGCAAAAAGGAGTGCCCCAGCCCCCACTTTCATTTTCACCTGTTTAGAAGGCACCTGGTTTCCTTGGGGATTTTGTTTGCTTTGGTCATTAGTCCCTCCCCTAGGGAAAGAGCACTCCTGGCTGATTCTCAAAAGGGCTTTGATCCAGTGGGATCTCTGAGCAGGTGCTAAGAGGCCTGAAAAGAATTCTACCAGCTTGCAGAGAGAAAAGTCACCCAGTTGTTTGGAAGAGTGTCCTCTCTCCTTTGTAATCCAACTAGCAGGGAGAACAGCCAAGGTTGTAGTCTCCTTAGGTTTCCAAAGTGCACTGTGGGAGTGAGAAACGGGTTCTAGCTACTTAGTAGATGGGGGAACTGAGAGGGAAAAAGTCTAGGGCTTGCTCAGGGGCACAGGGAAACCTCCTGTCTCCAGCCTGCTGGCCTGTCTGCTACAGCATTCTGCTTTATGGTAGGAGAAATGAGCCCAGCAGGGTGAGGACCACACTTCTCTTGACCCTGGAGTTCTACAGGAGGCTTTTAGGAATATTCTTCTATAAACAAAGCCTCCAGCACTTGGGTTGAGGGAAAAAGAACATTTAAATATGGTTAATAAGGGACATCATAATGAAAGAAGCCCTTCAAACCACTCACAAAGAGCCAACTCCGAGATGATCTTTGGCCAACGAGGACTTCCTGGTAGGAGAGGGGTTAAAGCTAGGCTCCCCGCTTGGAGAGGAAGGAGTCCAGATGAAGTCTATGACATAATCCCCACAACAGCTCTGTTCATGAGTACATTTTTCCATTCTATATCAATGAAAAACAGAGAATGTAAGCGGTATGTACATTGTAGCTCTGGGCAAACTCTAGATTCTCTAGAGGAGAAAGAGCTGGGCAGGAGAGGTCCCCATTCTAATGGCTGTTAACAGGCTGGGCTGGACTGGGGCTAGACATGGGTAAAAAGGCCTCTGGCCAGGAAATACCCAGGGGAACCTGAGACCCCACATCTTCTCAGTGGCAGTCATGGCCCTTCTGGAGGGAGGCTCACTGCGTAGGAGATTATCAGGAACTCCAAAGTGAATGGACAAAATGTCTCACACAAATCATTCCAGTCAGCTTTGAAAAGAAAACTGAGGCTGTAGGTCTGGGAAGGGGTGAAAGAAAGGCACTCAGAGAAAGCCCCTTTCCTTTCCCCTGAAGACCATTTCAGGCAGCGTGCCCGCCAGTGGGAACTGAAACCTCTAGCTTCAGGGCTCCACTTATCACCCGGATCAGGTCCACACGCAAAGAACCAAGCAGAAAGGAAAACTGAAAGTGAGATGTGGCAAGGCGATACAGGAGCCTGTCCTGTCCCAGGCTCAGTTCCTTCGACAGAGATAATGTAAGCATGCACGGGGTAAGTAAAGGCTGGAGCTAAGCGGAAGGTTAGGTCTTGAGGAAAGCAGAAAGAAGGTTGAGAGAAGAGGGAAGGCAGATTGGGTTACTGGTCTGGGGTATCTGAGCTGGGGCGGTGGGTGAGCAAAGAATGGAGTTCTCTGAAAACTCCACAGCCATTCAGCAGGGGACAAGCCTAGCCTGGGCAGAGATGCCCAGGAAGGAACAGAAAAAAGAGATCTAAGCTGTCTTATGGAAGATAGGGGAGGGTGAGAGAGAGAAAAGGAACTGAGCACCAGGCACCACAGACTGATGTACTCTGAGTTGCAAGACTTAACACCTCAGAGCAGCCATGGGGAAGGGAGAAAACCCCCAATCTAGCCAGGGAACAGGAGGAGGGGTCAGAGAGCTGAATCAGGCCTCTGGATGCAAGCTCTAGGAAATGAGGGGCTCACTCCATTTTTATTTTTTCTCCAAATAGGCCTACTGGAAGGCACAGGCACTATAGCGGCTGGTTAGATTTTGCAAAATTTCTTTTTCTGAACTTTTGGTTTAGGGGAATCAGAATTCAAACTTGCATTATCAGCCAGTTCTATTTTTTCTGGTCTTAAAAAGTCCTGCTTGCTACTGTTCCTCTGGTTAGAGAGAAAAATCACACGGGTTTTCCCCTACAAACTCAAGTTTACAGGTTGTTTTTCTTGTTTCGCTAAATGGAGCCAATTATTCTCACATTTGTTGAAACCTTCAATCAAACTTTATAGCTTGTTAATTTTACAGAATGTCCTTAGAGCAAATAAGATGCAGACAGGAAAGTGAAGTCTTGCTGAGATTATAAAGAAATCTTAAAATAGCCTACAAATCTACCACCAAGGCTGGTAAAATACAGGCTGCTTGGCTGGCTTCTGAGGTCAATTAGCAATGGGTTAATTATCATCTTTAATGAGCCAAGCCTACAGGATTGGCTACAAGAAACTGAACTCAGACTAAAGTGTTTTTACAAACTGGAAGCCTCCAGTAATGCACGACTCACTCTCACAGGAGACTGGAGGATGGGTAGGACAATTCTGTAGCGGCCAAGGGTGGGTCAACCTGAGAAGAGGTCTGCCAATGAAAGTTCAGACACAGGGAATCCTTGGGAGCTGGGAAGACAGAGGAAATGGTTCATTCACATTCCTAGGGGGAGCGGCTTCCAGGCAGGGAGCAGACTCCAGAGGCAGGAGGGAAGCTGGCCACAAGGATGCACAATCACTCTGAAGACAGAGGCAGTAGCTTACGATGGAGAGACAGACATTTGCAGCCTATCTGAATAAGAACAAATTGGTATTGGATTGAGAGAGAGGGTGATGGGCCAGAGGGGAGAGAAAGGAAGAACCTGTGCAGGCACTGAACGACAGAGGGGACAGAGGGAGAAAAAGCATGGGTCCTTGTGCCAGATACATATCCTGACAACCCCTGGGCATATGGTCCAAGGGGATCACCTCAGTCAGCGTTTCACTCTCTCCCTAGCCCTGCTGCAGCAGGGCCTCATTTCTACACAAGGCAGCTAAGCATAGGCTTTTCCCTCGGTCACTTTTGATCCCAGTGTCCAGACGCAGCCTTCCCTAGTCCTATGGTTGGTCTGTGCTAGCTGAGGGGTCAGTGGGTCACAAGATGAAATGCTAACATCACTGGCCAACCCACAGCAGCCACACCATTCCAGGTGTCCGGTCCAAACAGCTGTGTTTTCTTCTTAGCGGAGGCAACGTGGGCCGTCACCAATCAGCTGGCAAAGCACAGACGCCTGTTCAGAGTGGTATGGTAGCCTGTTCCCCCCACCCACATCCACTGTGTGTGCATGTGTGGGCGGTGGCCTTAAATCTTCTAGAGGGGTAGGTGGGAACTGGCAAAGGGTTCAGTGGGAAGACTTGGGTGGGGGTGGGAGTGGAGAGGCTATTCCAATAGTTTCATTGAAGATTCCAAAAGGTACATGTACTTGGCTACTGAGAGGGAGATTATGTTCACACTTCACACTGGAGGGAGAGTCGGGAGAACAGAGGAGTTGAGGCGCATACACTGGCAGTGAGAAGGTAAGTACGGTAGGAAAAACAGGTCCATTCTGGGAAGAGGCAAGTTGAAGCAACATAGGGGGTTGGTCAAGAGCTTGGGCTTTATAGTCAGAGAAATCTGAATTCAAGTCTTAACTGTCACTTCCTAGCTGTGTGTCCTTAGACAAATTACTTAACATCTCTGAGACTCTGCTCAAGTTGTTTGTGGGGTTTAAAAGAGATAATGCATATCAATGCAATGCAATGCAAATATTTAGCAAGGTGCCTGGGCCCAGAGACCGCTCAATAAATGAGGTGCTGTTATTTTTTCTTTTTTTTTAAGGAAGATTAGCCCTGAGCTAACATCTGCCGCCAATCCTCCTCTTTTTGCTGAGGAAGACTGGTCCTGAGCTAACATCCGTACCCATCTTCTTCTACTTAAGACGTGGGACACTTACCACAGCATGGCTTACCAAGAGGTGCCACGTCTGCATCCGGGATCCGAACCGGCGAACCCTGGGCCACCGAAGTGGAACGTGCGAACTTAACTGCTGCGCCACTGGACTGGCCCCTGTTATTTTTTTTTCTTCCTTGCTGCCTCACTCTGCTCAGAGGTGGGAGGGGTACTCTGCCCAACATCACTGAGATGTGTGGAAGCCAGACTCAGAGGTAAGGAAGGAAGCATGGGGCTGGCACACAGCCTAGGGCTGAGGGGAGAGGCCCTGGAATGCTCACCTGGCTGTTGAAACTGCTGAAATATTTTGTTCAGAGCTAAGGTGCTGGATCCAGGCTGCTGGGCAGACCACTTGGTGGAAGGAAGGCCCAGCCTCTCTCCAGCTGTTCCCCTTTCTATTCTCCAAAAAGATTCCTGGACTTAACCATAGGCATGCATTCTACAGGATTTTAGAGAGGCCCCAAGGGCCTGGGCTTTAGGACAGGCATGCCACTAATGCACATATCAGAAATAAAATCTTGTAGTAAACATCATAATTGCCTTGCCCGTCTGGTCTTTTCATATTAGGGTGTGGGTAGTGGGTTTGCCTTTGTTAATGGTATCCTCCTTAAACAAGACCCAGCTGGATCCTTGCTCCAGGTCTCTCAATACAAGAGAAATGATGAAAAAATCCCCAATGTGGTATTTTCTACCTACCTGAATTTCTTGAGCTTGGAATTCTGAACAAAGCCAGATAGGAGTCTGGGCTTTCCTGGGCAGAGCACAGCTTGCTCTTCTTGAACTGTTCCCTTATGGAAAGAATTCTCTTCTAGAGCTCTGAGCTCCAGCTGCACGAGCAAGGTGCATTCTCAACAGTGAGTGTGTCGCAAAGAGCAAACTATAGGCAGCAGTAGCTCGGGCTGCAGTCCAATCTGCTTCCCCTGCAGAGTGCTCTGAAAGCAGCCACCCACATTGGCAGGAGTTAGGGGCGGATACTGGCACTGCCAACACAAGCCTTTCAGGTCTAGCTGGCTTCAGCTGGTCTGAAACCTGGAACACAGGCGCTGGGGCCCTCACTTACTGAACCAGCAGGGGAGGCTACAAGCTCAGCCCCTGGGGATGAAAGTCCTCGAGTCTGTCTCAGTCTGCAAATATCCACACGCAGTCTGCTTCTACACTGCCAGTTAGTTCTGGGTCAGGAGCACTGTATCTCGGGCTCTAGTCACTCTGAGCCACATTATTACTTGCTTTCTAGACAGCTAGAGTCAGGAGGCCACCCCTTAGGTTTGTGTTCAGTCTCCTTCACCAAATTTGTTTCCAGTTTTATTTATTTTGTGTGTGTGGGGGGAGTGCCCTTTCTGAGACATCTGCAACATTCAACATATTTAGTCAACATTCAATTCAACAAATATTTACTAAGTGCCTACTGTGTGCACTAGGTACTATTCTAGACCCTGGGGATTCCATAGAGAACAAAGCAAAGTCCCTGCTCCGGGGGTGGGGTTGGGGTAGGTCACATTCAGATCAGGTACACCAAAGACTCCCTGTATCAAGAGAGAAATAAATTCTCCCCCCTCCTCCCACATTACCTACAGCACTCAGGAGGGCAGAATTCTCATTCCTTTTCCCTCAAGGGAGGAGGAAGAGGCAGCCCAAGGAGAAGAAAAGCTCCTTGTAGAGACCCGTCACGCTGCTCCTTTATCCCTTTTAGACTGAGGGTCCTGAGGAAGTCAGGGCAGAGAATTCCCTTGGGCTCAGCCTTGCTATGAGATGAAACCCCAATCTCTCTCAATGTTTTCCATTATCTGTGTAAATCCTCTCCCACTCACCCCTCCCCACTGTATTATCTCCACTCTCACTTCTTGCTATTATTCCCTAATCCTCAACTCCAGGCCCCAGGCAACCCTGTTCCATACTCCCCTGCATGCCATTTGCTCCCTCTCACATCTCTGAAACTTTACAGATTATTCCCCCAACCTACAGTGACTTTACCTTTATGCAATCAACTCATTCCCTCAACTTCCTTTAAGTTTAATAAAGTCTTTCTTTTCAAGAAGACTTTGACCAGCCTGCTAGCCTACTGTCCATAAATTCTTCCTAAGGCCCTACTATGTGACAGGGACTATGTTAGACATCCTGGACACAAAAGAGAGAACAAGACAGATGCAGTCCTTGACTTCACAGAACTTTCAGTCCAGGGAGGGATTCCCTAGTAACCTGACACTAACCTTTTCTACGTCCACAGTTGCCCTTTATCACCTATGGGTTAGGCCTATCCATCCTTCATCTCTGACCTCCTTAGCAGCCCTCAACATCTGTGTAACTTACATGACACAAAGTGGGTTACTGATCATTTAGAGCCACACTAGAACACCCTCTAGATCATCTCCCAGTGATCCAACTCTTTCTTGAATATTTCAGTTGGAGAGGATTTAAGATCATGGGGAAGCTTTTGAAAGCATCATTACCTAATGTTTAAGAAACATATAAGTAATTTTCATTATTACCTACTTAACAGATTTTTTTTTCCTGTTAACTTTCAGTCCTGCCCATGCTCTATGAGAGGTCTCTTACTGTTTTGAATCTACAAGGGAGTTCATTTCCTACTAGTAAAGCCATTCCATGTTTGGACTTCTAATTGGTAGAAATAAATGCTAACGCTTTTAAGGCCAAATCTGCCTCCCAGTGCTTCTAATTCTGTTCTCTGTTCACATAAAAAACTCTAATTCTGCTTCTACCTGACTGGCCTCAAATTATTTGAGGTCTGCTGCGTTATACCTTCTCTGGGTTAAACAGTCCCACTTCCTTCAACTGTCCCTCACTTCAACGTCTCCTCAACATCCTGCTTATTCTAAGACTTTCACTAAGACTAATGTGTCTCCTAGAGTGAGTGCCCACACGTGACCTGGCAGCAGAGAACAGGGCAGAACATCTCTTCCTTGTTCCGTTCTGGATACCTCAATTCTATGAAGAGGCCAAAATAGCATTACTTTTCTTGTTTACCACCTTGCACTAATGACACACTGTGAGCTTTTAATCAATAAATCCCCAAACTTTTTTCACGTATGTGGCTAAATAATATCTTGCCCCCTGAGAGTAAGCCCTCTACTCATTATAGCCTTTTATAACATTCCTTCACTGAGGTCTCTCTGCTCTGTAAGAAACCATATTAATTAGTACTGTGCTTCATGCTGCTTGCTACATGCAGCTGACTTAATGGACAAGGTAAGATTTTATATTTATTATTTGATTTCATCTTGTTATTTACTTCTTTCATTGTAGCCTCTCATAAAGTTCTCTTTGGATCCTAAATTTGTCATCTGAGAATGTATTCCCTCTCAAGTTCAAGACATCTGTAAATCTGATCTGTTGATTTGTTTACGCTTCTCAGTATCTTTCTCCCATTATTCTGTCCTGTTTTCTCCAAGTAAGATTCTTGAGGGTAGGCGTGTGTGTGTGTGTGTGTGTGTGTGTGTGTGTATTTAAAGAAAAATCTATCTGCAGCATCTAATATACACTATGGGTACTGGGACAACATGGATGACTGAATATAGGAGGAGACGGCAGCCTCAGGACCTTAGGACAATTCCAGAGGACATCATGATCATGGAGAGGGGGCTAGCTACACTGTATACTATGTGAATCATGCTCCTGGTGTTAAGCAACACAGACACCCTGGACAGACTCAGAGATGCTACTTTCTGCTTCGGGTGGTGTTTCCCATGGAGGTTTGGGCTCAAGAAGGGATAGGTAGGTGCCCTCTTTTGACAGGCCTCCAAAAGAGTTTCTAGTTTGAAATAAGATATCACAAGTTCTGGGCACGTCTCACCTTTGCCTTAACTGGAGGTTGTTACCCTAGGGCAAGGTACAAAACACCTCAGTAACAGGTGAGACTTACTCTTCAAATCACTAATGCCATGCTCTGAGAAAAAATTACAACTATATCTTGAGAATCCAAAACAGCAAATTAAAAATAGGGTATACAGGGGCTGGCCCTGTGGCCGAGTGGTTAAGTTCGCACACTCTGCTTCAGCAGGCCCAGGGTTTTCCCGGTTCGGATCCTGGGCATGGACCTAGCACTGCTCATCAAGCCATGCTGAGGCGGCGTCCCAGATGGCACAACCAGAAGGACCTATAACTAGAATATACGACTATGCGGGGGGGAGGGGGAAAAGGAGGGGGAGGAGGAAGAAGAGGAAGAAGAAGAGGAAGAGGAGGAAGAAGAAGAAAGACAATTGGCAACAGATGTTAGCTTAGATGCCCATCTTTAAAAAAAATATATGGTATACAGAAATTCTCGGAGATTAAGGCTGAGATAGGGTGCCACTTTAAGTTGCATTTTCAGGTCCTACACCTAGAGTGCTGAATCTCAAAGGTAGCAACGCCTCACAGGTGGAAACAACACAAACTTTGTTAATTAAAGCTAACTAAAGTCTGTCCATAGTTTGAGACAAGGCATAAATAAAGTAAATGCCCAACATAGAAGAAACTCAGTAAGTATTAGTTCTCTTTTCTTCACCTCTCAACACTAAAAAGCATTTTTTAAAACTACCTACATCAGAATCACACAGTGAGCTTGTTAAAAATGTAGATTCCTGGACTCCACTTTGGACTAAATGAATTAGTATTTCTGGGGATAGGGCCTTGGAATGTGCACTTTTTTTTTCTTCTTCTCCCTAAAGTCCCCCAGCACATAGTTGTATATTCTAGTTGCAGGTTCTTTTAGTTGAGCTATGTGGGATGCCATCTCAGCATGGCTTGATGAGCGGTGCTAGGTCCATGCCCAGGATCCGAACCAGTGAAACCCTGGGCCACCGAAGCAGAGTGTGAGAACTTAACCACTTGGCCACTTTGGGCTGGCCCCCAAAACGTGCACTTTAAATAAGTGTTCCAGGTACTTACGAATGCTGAAATTTGAGAATCACTGCTTAAAGGCTGGAAGGCTAGGTGAAGGTGATCACAATTTTAGTCCATTCTTCAAAATGCAACTCTACTTTAGCTAAGGTACAAAAATACTACCTTACACTTTTCATGGCACTTTTAGGATCTAGAAAATCCTCAGTACCTTATGAAGCAGCTACTATTACATTCAGATAATGATAACAGAGATGAGGAAACTGAAACTCAAGTAAGTTAAACAAGATCTGACGCCAGATGCAATGACTTCTGAGTCTAACGTTCTTGCCACCTCACCAGAGCTGCAGCCTGGGAGAGCACCACTGGGCCTTCTAAAGCATAAGAAACCCTGCTGTGTGCTTCACTCACCCTTGACAGCTATGAATAACATTTAGTGAATGGCGGCTACATGCCAGGTACCGTGCCAAATGTTCTACATGCACCAACTCATCTAATCCCCATAACAAACCCATGGAGTGGGGATTGTCCTTATCTCAATTTTACAGATGAGGAAATTAAGGCACAGTGGAGTTAAGTAACTTGCTCAAGATTATGCGGCCAATAAGTTGAGGAGCTGGAGTGTGTCTCTGCTCCTTATCTGTGTTTCAACTGCCCACAGCTCTCAGTGGACCCAGACCATCTACCTGTGCTTTGGGAA